GGGAAACATGACCGATATTGTCAACATGCACAAGGCATGAAGCAGGGAAGGAGGCCAGACTGGAGTTCTGAAATGACTCGGACAAGACAGAAGGATGGACTGGATCTAAAATCCAATGTGAAACTTATTAGGGATGAATGTAAAGTTAGCACTTCTGTCCAGAAAGACCAATTGAAAGGATGAAGGACTGCTAAGCCCCAGGCAGGATAAGAATTCTATACTCTCTAGGCAAAGAGTAGTCGAAAATGGGATAGGAGGCTCTTCCAGAAGCCCCCAGGAGTCCCACGGCTTTCTTTCAAGGCCTGTGACCTAATGGTATTTTAAAAAGAGACAGAAACCATCCTATTAAATATGTTATGCCTTTGTGCCTCCACTTCTGTATTTCTCCCTGAGTTTTGAATATTTTGTATTCTTAGCATTTCATATTTTTTAGTCCCCCTAATATGTGATTTTATATAATTAAAATGCTTTTGAGCATCTGCTTGCAATTGGTAAAGATATATTAAATAGAATAATTGACAATGGAATACATTCTAGCCATACAGGAACTAGGAGGATGAATACCCTCTACCTGCTTTTTGCAGGCTGCCTGGCAACCCTAATATTAGACTTGGATGTTTCAAGAGTAATTTACAGTATAGCTGTAAGTTCTTAACACCCAGTTCTTTGCTATGGCTGTAAAGGACATCGTCCCTTAGATTTTTAATAGACCCTTGCAGCTAAAAGCAAGACGAGAAACCAGAATCCCCAGGAACTGTTTGATCAGGCAGCAGCATGGTTTCAGCTTGTAGCAAGACACTCATAAACAATATACTTTTCCTTTTGAAGCTACAGCAAGACTTTGATTTGAGGAGAGATGATTTCCTGTACATGCATGACATGTCTCATAGATTCCTAATTCCCTTATCCCTCATGGAGCTAGCATTCCCATAGTGGAGCTGAGGTTATATTTTTTCCATATTAATACATTTGCTACCCAGAAGTTACTCAACTTGCCCAAGTTTTTATTAAAAATATAGACCAAGGAAATTTTTCAGATTTCAAATTCTCCAAGGAGGAGGAAAGATATTATTCTGATATTATTTTGGTTTAGAGTTCTTCTTTTCAAAAGAAATTTGTTTTCTAAGATCAACACAGCTATTAATTAAAGCATATCACATCTGCCCACCAAAAAACCTGTCTTTTCTCTAAATTAGCACTATAGTGTACTAAAAGAAATTAAACATGAAAAATTAAAATTTGGGAAGGAAAAAATGATAATAATCCTATTTGTGGATGGAGGCCAAATTTCGAGAACATTCTCAGTCCAAGTTTGAAGGCCTGAGTACCAGGGAAGCCAATGGTATAACTCTCAGTATGAGGCCGAGGGCCCAAGGGCGCTCACATGCCAATCTCTTCTGGAAACACCCTCACAGACACACTCACCAGGGCAGCGCAGTAATTCTGATCAAATTAAATCCACTTGGGGTTCCCTTTCAGCAGAAGAGGGTTGGGCTCAGAGCCTACTGAAACAATTGAGATCAATTAATGCAATGATTGAGAACAAATGATGCTTTACCAGCTACCTGGGTATCCCTTAATCCAGCCTAGTTCACATCCAAAATCAACCATCACAGACTTTGAATCTTTCAAGGCTTGCTTTTAAACTTTGTTAGGGTGGCTCCAATGTAGGCTTTCGCCTGAGAGGGAAGTCACTGAGCAGGAGAGCAGAGTTGAATCCAAGGACTGGGAGGGAACAGAGAGGTTTAGGACTCAGGTCAAGGAGAGGGCACAGAGAGATGAACCCAACCAAAGGCAAGGACCAGAGACTAGCAGAGCTGAAGGCTTGCATTTCTGGAAAAGCTGGTGTAGATTTACACTGGGGGGAAACTGTGCCTACTCTTCCCAGACGATGAATTCACTCACTCCTGCGGCTACAGCTACTGCCCTGATCCCAAGGCGGTGCCCGCACCCACGTCTCCAGCCCTGCCTCTCCCTTTGGGTCAGCCCCAAGTCTGCTCATCCTAAAACGCTCAGCTCCAGGGCTCACTGCTCCCCAAAGGCTTCTCAGTGGATCCCAGCTGACAGCGACCTACCCCTCCTCCTGCCCTTGGAGACGCTGCCTAAGCCTTGGTTCTTAATCTTGCAGAACTGTGCAATCAAACTGTGGTCATGATTGGCTCCCAAAAACATGGAATCCGATTTCCATCCTTCCACAATGTATACATACTTCAAAACATCATGATGTACACAATAAATGTGTATAATTTGATCTGTCAATTGTAAACAAATAAATATTTAACCAATAGAAGGGATGCCAGCTACAGTGCTGAAGTGAGGCTCTGAGGCCCCTTAGGGTGCCAAGCTTGAACCCCTTAGTTTCTGAATTGTGGGGATGCCCCCAGAATCCCCGGGAGAGGCTGCACAGCTGGAATGGCAGGGGCCCTGGCCAAACAGAAGGCACAGATAATAGCTGTAAACAACTCGTTTGCCCATCCTGTTGCATATTAATTTAACATATTTGTCGATAACCAAACATAATTGAAAATAAGATTAAATCTTATTAAATCTTAAAAAAAAGAAAAAACCACCTGGGAAATAGCTTTCTAAAATGTAGGTTGCAGGGCAACACCCTCAAAAGATGCAATAAGTCCGGTCAATTATTTTCATTTGCAAACATCTAAAACAAAGAAATCTACACTTTAACAAGCTCTCAGAGGGATTTGGATGTAAACTGAAAATTTAAGAACCATTGCCTTGATCGTTTCATGTGTGTCCCAACTGCCTTGTAAAATCCTTTAATGCAGGAATTGCTTTTTAACGCTTGGAAGCTGGCCCCACGCTGAGCATATAATTGGAGTTTTCAGTTTTTACTGTCACGCGCTGGGGATTAGTGGGGGCCCCAAGCTGGGCTGTCTTGGAGGTGGGTTTTAGTCGCCTGCATAATCTTGATATCTCCATTCTCCATCTTACATATACATACAGTGTTCAAGTAAAGTGCTGTACAAAGGAAGCTTCTAGACGAGTCCCCCGGCCTCTCTTTCCACGACATTGCCACTCCTAATCCCACCCCATACAGAAATTCTGGAGAAGGGACTGGCATGACATGAAGATAAATAAAACTGGTTTCTGTTTTCATTCATTCAGGGAATGGATGAATGGCCAGGTGCAGCAGTTTGGTGAAAGAGAGCGGCAGGACTGGAGCTTCCTCCCGGCCTTGGGTCTTCCAGCGGGAGGATGGAGATGCCCATGGGGTAAATCTGTGAAAATAGACCCTTGAGGCCATCCGTTCTCGTTTCTGTTTGCTCAGAAAAAGCTGGTTGTTGATGGCTACACTCACTTTCTCAAGCACAGCAGCTTCCTAAAGCATCCAGGGCTGCAGCCTGCACATCCTGGCTCTGTCTCCATGCTCGTGCTAAGGCAGTGACTTTCGAAGAGTTTGAACTGCCACGCCCAGTAACAATATATATA